CGAAAGCGTCTCTGTTGGGTGAACTTTGCATTGCCGCCATCCTAGACAAACGTACCCGAGGCGGGCAGGGGCGCGGGGCCGGCGGCAGGACACTTGTGCCCATTACATCACAGGCAGGGCACAAGCAGTTGTTGTGTGTGCTGCAGAGACGCTACAAGCGCTGCCATTGATGCGCGGGTGCCACGGGCGAAGGGGTAGTGCACAGACGTGCCAGCTTGTGCAGGCTGCCCCGGGAATTGTGGATTGTGCCCAGCTCTGCTGCTTAACCCCGGGGCTGAATGTGGTGTGGGAGGAGCCCCCAGAGCAGAAAGCTGCTGGAACGCTGCCCTGGAGCAAACTGGGAGGAGAAAGTGCAGAAAAACCTGCGCTTGAAGGAGGTTTTCTGGCAACGTGTTGCTATTGCTGGAGGGGCTTGGGGAGTGTGAATGATCCAACAAGGAATGGGGTTTTATGGGGTTTTTGCAGCCCACATCGTTGGGCTGCAACTTGACATCCTCAGGCTCCTGGGGCTGGGGACCCTCGGCAGGGGATGGTGCTGGGGATCTGCTCACCCATGGTCACAGGTTACCAGCAGCAGATCCCAAAGCCAAAACTTGAAAGTTCCCAGGCAAGCTGCTCAGAAGAAGGATGGAACTTTATTTTATGGAAGAGAAGAAAAAAAATAAACAAAGACAAACACCTCCAGAGCAGCCGTGGGGAAAATGGACATTTGCAACTGTGGGGTGTGAGGAGATGGGGCCAAGAATGGAACAGGATATTAGTGCTGGCACCACAGAGGGGAAATGTTTGGAGAAAGCACAAAGAACATTAAACTTTTCTAGTGTTTAAATGATCAAAGCTGAAACACCTGCTTTGCACTCTCCCAAAACACCCCACTCCCCTGTGGGGTTCTCCCTGGCCGCAGCGGTATTGGCTCCTGAAGGCTTTCGATGATTGTTTGCTGACCCAAAGCCTCAAAACAGTCAACTGTAATTCTCCTGAACGGAACAAACCTGCTCCAGGCCGTGCCTAGTGTCAGCTGTGGGGTGGTGGGTGTGAGCCCTGGTGGTCACCCCAGTGTGGAGGTGGTGGTCCCCAATGGCCAAATGGAGCAGCTGCAGCCCCTCATCATAGGGAACGTGCCTGGAAGCCCCCCCCAAATAACAGGAGGCACCCCAGGGGGGAACACCCCAAAAGGAAGAGGCTGCTGTGGCCCCACGAGCAATGCCAGTGTCCTGGTGGCCATGCAGAGATGTGAAAAAATATCAGACTTTCAGGTGCTGACTGGCTTAACAAAAATCTGTATGGATTTTTTTGAAATTTTATTTTATTTTTTGGTTTAGTCTTTCATTTAAAAGATTTACATCACTATGGAAACTGATACTAAGACACATTTGTCTCTGGCTTTCTTTAAAAATCCGTTAGTTCCTGTTTGATCTTTAGATGTAAAGGCACACAATAAAGCTTTATGCATTTATTAAAATATACAGATTTTGGTAAATTTAGAATTTGTTTTTCTTAGTATCTTGATAATATATATCTATTATATGTATAGTCATCAACAACACAATCATTTGAAAATAAAAATCACTCCATAACATATCTGCATATTTTTTTTCTTTCTCATGACACACTACAAGACCCCATTGTACAATGCACCAATGGGCTTTTGGAAACCACAACAAAAAAAAAATAATAGAACGAACTTTTTTTTTTTTAACAAATACATCAATTTCATACCAGAACTGCAGAGAATTGTTACACCAGAAAGTACCATCTGCAAAAAAAAAAAAAGCAAGATATACATCAGAAAGACCGAACAAAACGAAGTGAAGATCATTTACAAGCTGGATTTACAACATCCCATGTCGTTCGGAGGGTGATTTCTCTGCTGCGTGGAGGATGCCGGCGTGCTGGGCCTCGTGCCGGGTGGTCGTAACCGTGCGGAGTGAATTTGTGGAGGGACTGAGATCTTATAGAGTCGGTCTGGAAGATTTGAGGTATTTATGCTCCGTCCGTATCGTGCGTTGGGCCCCCCGGGGAGGGTGGTCAGGCATGGGGGGGCTGTGTGCCCCTCACCGGTGGGTCCTCCTGATGGGTCAGGGCTGTGAGAACCTCCCTGAGGGCACCCGAGGGGAAAGGCTGGATTTGGGGATTACAGCAAGACGAGATTTTGCACCTCCTTCCAGCACCTGAAACTGCCCCTCGGGTGATGGACACGGCTGAACATCTTGGCTTTTGCAGCTTTTGCTTGTGCCCACAGAAGACCCCAATGCCTGCTACAAGGAGAAGCGTGCCAGCTCCCAAACAGGGGCTTGGACCTGCATGTCCTTTGATCCTGCAAGACCCAACCTGTGGCTTGGCCGGTTCTCCTTACACACCTCCATGAGGTGAGATGGGGTGGTCTCGGGAGGAGGGTATAGCTCCCACCCCCTGGCACGGCACGGTCTGACATCAGCCCATCTGTGTCGGACTGTGCTCTGACATCAGATGCTGTTTCCCACTAGTCCCGGTGACATGGTGCAGCCGTCCAGCACCGGCACTGCCACTAGAAGGAGGAGGAGGATGGGTGAACAGGAACGAGAGCAGCCAAAGCTTCACTCAGTGCATGGATCCAATGGAGAGGTTCCTACAGACACCAAAGAGCAAGGGATCAAGCCCTCATTAAATTATACTCCATAACTAGAGTGAACATGACAACAGACACTGGTTCTGTAGCAAGAGATTAAGGCTGCAAAAGGAATAACAGGCTTCGATTCAACAGGGTCCTTGGGCACGAGTTTGTGGTTCGGCAGATGCCTAAATACCGCGTGGAAGTTGGACGAACACAACTACCTTGGATATGGTGTAGAAGAAGAGCTGGTAGGAAAATAGCATTGGTCTTTCTCCCTGAAAACCTAAAGCCAGACCTGTGAGGTGCCATCTCTCTTGAGTACTTCTAAGGCATCGAGGACGAGAGCAGCCCAGCATGTGTGAAAGCCGACCTTTGCGAGAGGAGCTCCGCACTGCCAGGTTTCCCGAGCTGGCCCGTGAGCAGTGCACACATTGCAAACACCCTTTCTGCGGGACACACTTGGGATTTCTGCTTGTAGAAGCCATGGTAGGGGAGGGCAGCGGGAGGGGACGCCAGAGCGAAGCTTTACAGGCCCTTTTGCAAAATCCTGGCTCCCATCCTGAAGCACTTGCTGAAGTCAAACTTCCCTTGGCTCGCCTGGAGTGCTCTGGGTTAAGATCTGCAGAATCGGTTGCCCTTCTCCGCTGGGAAAAGGAGTCTAGTTTGTCACCAACTGGGACAGGAGCTGCAGGAAAGCTTTTGCAGCCATGGACAGTGCCTCTCCATCAAGGCCTTGAGGCCCGGGAGCGCTGGGGGTGAGTGCAGGTCTCAGAATCACATGTTGGAAACCCTGCCTCATGCCCGGTCAATGTTAACTTGTCCCCTGGGATGCCAGCAACAGCCCCTGGGAGTGGGGGCTGCTCCAGGGGATGGATCCGGCTGCAGCCTTTGGCAGCCGGGAGGAGGATGGGTGTCACTGTTTGATGGGGTGCTTTCTTGGTTATTATTTATTCAAAAAGGTGTTCCTCCATTGCAGTGTTTTAAACTAAGCACATTGGTGCTGGGCTCCAGAACTGGACCTGCCACTAATTGCTGACTCAGCAGTCTGTGCTAGGGGACACCAGTGTCTGCGACCAAACCTCATCACCACCAACGGTGCTGTGGGGACGCTGGTGGCAGGGGACCTGATGGCACTTCTGGGGCTCATGGCCATGCTCAGGCCGTACCGGAGGGTCTAACTTTGAGAACGTCCACCTAGTGACCACCTCTGCCCTGCCAGCTCTGTTTAGTTTCAAACTGAAATATGGGCACTTGCACAACAAGCAGCGTTTCTTTTTTTTTTTTTCATACAGCATCTACCAAGCCAGGATCAGAAAGAGAGAAAATGGTACAAGGTAGAGATGGAAGCAGAGAGGGAGTTTTCAGCAGCTGAGTCCTCTTTGCTTGCCACGTGTGGCCCAGCCCTGCCAAGATGTGGCTGACCCATGGACATTTTGCAAGGGCACAGATGCATCCCTGGAGAACCGAGGCCATAGCGAGCGCAGAAATGTGCCCACCGCAGCGAGGGAATTATGGTGCAGTCATTTTTGTAAAGACACAACATGGTGGAAACAGTGCCCAGCCTCAGACCAGCGATGCTCAGAGAAATGGTGAGCGGTCCTCGTTGACCATTCGTGTGAGGTGGGTTGAGCCAAGAGAAGGTTACAGCCCTCGCTGCGACCAGAAATGGGACCAAGCTCCCAACTGCAGATTTGTGATGTTTGGCCATGCTGAGACTTCAAGGTTTGGTTGAGACATGGGCTAATTTTGAATCGTAGTATTTGGGACCCTTGGATTTGGGGTGTAGGGATGAATGTGCAGATAGCACTGCTGTATGCACCGAGTGCCTTCGCACCAGAATGGACCATGGAAATGCTGCGTGATGGGACCAACACCCCTGGATCTATCTCCGAACTGCTCCCTTGACAGGGGTTGTCCATCTCCATTTCGTACCTACCCATCTGTCCCTCTGGCTCAGCAATTATTTCTAGGTGGTTCAAAGAAAAAAAAAACATACGTACTAGGAAAGTGCCAGAAATCTGAGAGTGGCATCCCACTGCTGCAGCCATCAGGTGGACATTCCCCACTGACAACTCGTCTCGTCCCCTCATGCAGCTCCTTCCACCTCCCAACGCCCTCCCAGTTTGGCACATCTTCCACTCCACTGGTTCCACCGGTGCAGCTGGTGCTGGGAGATCGACCAGTGCCGGGGAATCTGCCGGCATTCACCAGAGTGAGCCCCGACTGGTGGAGCTGGGACGGGCCATGAGTGTTTGGTTCGGGGTCAACAGCAGTCGCAGAGCGTGTCCCGAGGACCAGAGGTGAGCGGAGTGGTGGTGGAGGACCCGGGGAGGATGGGACGGGATGGGGGAACCGCGGGGACTCTTCCTCATCGGCTGGGCAGCGCGGTGCCCCGTTGCCCGCCCTGCTACTCAGGCGAGTAGTCCAACTCATCGTTGGCGATGAGAGCCTCCGACGGCGGTTTGTGCCTGCCTTTGCTTTTCGATCTGCTACTTGTCCGATGGCTTTCCTTTGCTCCCGCCATTTGCTGGTACGAGAATCCCTTGTCCTCAGAGGGACCCCAGCCTGGGTAACCCTCACCCTCAGTAGCATAGGAGAAGCCGTCATCCACAGAGAAGGGGTCGACGTCCACGTCGTAGCGCTGGTAGGTGCTCTGGTGGAGGGCCTCCTCCCGGGCGCTGATCTCCAGCGTGCTGTTCCACATCCCGTAGCCAAAGTAGATGAGCAGACCTGTGGTGGGCAAGAGGGAGAGGATTGGAGCCATGCCCCAAAATAGCACCTGCCCCCCAAAATCCACATCAGGGTTGAGTCAGGGACCCAGCTCCGCTCACCATCAGCCTCCTCCCACCCAGCACCAGGCTGGCTCCAGCTGATGAGGGTTAAGTGTAGGTAGATATATCTTTATTTTTTAAGCTAGTGTATGTTGTAGTTGATGTCTGGTTTTTGAAGCTGTCCAGATTGTGTTTTTAGGTCGCCATCTGTGACCTGAGGGCTGAGTGTTTTAAATATCAGCTGGGATCACTGCTGTCCACCTCCTTGTTCCATCTGCAGGTCAGGTGGGACAGCAGTTCCCTGCAGATGCATGAAGGCTCCCAACCGCCAAGGACCCTCATCTCCACCCCGTTACCCTCCCGGCTACCCTCTTCTCTCTGGAGATTTCTCACTCTTGCAGTCTCTCTCCTGCTGGTGGTGCTCACAGCTCTGTGTGCCCCAGAGTTGTCAGGATGAGTGTATTTGGTGTCAAACCATCTTTGAAACATGTTCTCCTCCCCTCAGGGGTTTCATTTCATCTTCTCCCTCTAGCCCTACACAATCTCACCTTCTCACACCAACGCTTTCCACAGAAGCAAATGTATCTGAGATCTGATGTCCAGTGGATCCTGGGATTAACCTATCCCAGACACGTGCATAGAGAAACACAGACTTCTCTGCGTGCCATGGACTGGCCATAGAGTTGGCCTCACTGGCCTTCACTGAGGTGAAAACCAGAATCTGTGTGGCAGGACCACATATCTCTAGGGGAAAAACAAATAGGATGTGCCTCCTGCAACAGGTGAGCAGCCCTGGGTGGGATCGGTGGAATCCATCACACCTTAACGGAGTAGCTTAATTGACTTGTTGCCATTGGTCACAGCTGAAGAGGTGTCGATGTACCCAGAGGAGAAATTATTTAATCACAGGAGATTAAATTGATGCTTTGCAGTAATTTTTGCTTCCAGGTAGAAGGGCTTTCCCTGGATTCGCAGCTTCATCTGTTGCCTTTGAGGGCCAAAAAGATCACGGAGTATGTCTTCTCCAGCCCAAAGAGTGCATGTGGCAGCTACTGCCCAACAGCTCGGCTTCGGGTTAGGGGACTCTCAGACATGGGGCTTTGCTGTGGGACCTCAGTTGTGCAGGACCGACTCAGGATACTTGCAGTTCTCACCCTGAAGCAAAAGAAGGACCGGCAAAATGGTCCAAACCCATGGTAACAGCCTCTGCCCAAAGAGTGGAAACCACAAGACTACTATAAACAATCTGAGACACCAGAGGGAGGTCCAAGGTTTGTCCATGTCCATCTTCTGGCTCTGCCAAATGAGTTCAAACATCTACACATGTCAGGTGGCACCTGAGAAAAGCACAAAGGCTGCTGAGCCTGGTGTGGTGGATGACTCCTACCTTTGCAGGAGATGACAGCTGACTATAATCCTCATTCTCTTTCCCCACTACTTTCTCCCTCTCAACCCAGGACCGTGAACTCTGCTACCAAAAGGGAGGGCTGCTGGTGGGACACTTGGCCAGGGATGCTTCTTTTGGGTGCTGGCACCATGCTCAGGGTCTGTTGTCTGGAACTGGGGCTCCTGTGGGCTGCTGCAATATATATGTTTACTCATAGGGTTATTATTTCTCTGTAAAGAGTCCTTGGTTTGATATTGTCTTGTCGCTCCAGTTCTCTATCGTGCAGACTTGAGAGTCTTCAGAAGGAGCTACGAGAGCTGCTCTTTTTCTCTTGGGTCTGTGGCCTAAGTGGGCTGCAGTGCAAAGGAAGCAAAACTACAAATGTGCCAGGCTCATGGCTCCGTGCCAGGAAACCTAGATTTGGCAAAAAAAGGTCTACAAGAAAGCCTGTGAATCCCAAGATCCTCCCAGGGATCTTGTTAAGGACTGAGTTAAGGACTTAGACCAAGAAAATGAGATACAGTCCACAGATCTCTTGGCTCTGTCTCTCACAGGGCTGCTGGGACTGGGCAGCTCTGGGCTTTAGAAACGCAGTGCTGAGATTTTGGTGTGGGCTGCTGGAGAGCTCGAGTGGGTGAAATAGCAAGAAAGCAGGCAGAATTCTGCAAGAAACCTGCCTACGAAGTCATTTCCAGAACCCACTTACTTTGCATCCAAAGACTCATCAAAAGTGCCACCTTTGCATAGAGCAGTTTACTTCCATCAAACTGACATTTTCTGGAGGTGTGATTTTCCATTTAACTATGGTTCAGGGGCTTGATTAACCAAGGTTTCTAAGAACTTCTGGATGATTAGGGGCAAATGCAAAGGACTGGGTATATCCCAGCTGAAGAAGCATCAGCCTAAGCTCTCTAATTAGGGAAGTAATTATTAACAGCCTTTCAAAAGAGTGTCGGTTAAAAAATTGAAATAAATGAATCTGGGACTCACCCACAAAACACCAGACAGCAAATCGAATCCACGTGACTGTGGAGAGCTTCAGCATGAGATAGATATTCACCAGCATAGCAAAGGCAGGGACAAAGGGGAGACAAGGTGCCATGTAGGGCAGCTTCTTGGGATTTTCTGGCTGCTGCAAGATCACAAACACCAGCACGGCGATAAGCAGGATCATCAGCACAACGAGGAGGACAGCCCACCAGCTCTGCTCGGAGATGTAGTCTGCCCCAAAAATGATGAAGGAGCAGAAGATGAACATCAGGACGAATAGGAGGAGCACACAGGTGGTGACGGTGTGGCCGGTGGCTGCCGTGGGGCGATCCATTTTCCCCGGCAATCCGAGGTGGATCCTCATTGTGTAGTAGCGAGGGCCGATCAACTTCTTCAGCTTGATGAGGTAGATGTTCTCAGACTCGTCTGCCTCTATCCCTGAAGTCATGTCGACCGTGCCGTAATTGGGGTGATTCACGTTGTAGGTGGATTTATCAGATTTACCAATTAGCATCTCGTTATCCCCCAGCGACGGCAGATTTTTTGCCCCACACGTGTTGGTCGGTGGGCCAGCAAACTCTTCACCTTCGCTCCCCGGGGAGCACGCTTCCTTCTCGCAGTCAGCCAGGATGCCCTCCTTCTTCTTGGTGTGCTCCTCGGAGAGGAATTTGACGAAGCCATCGATGTCACTCTCGGGCTGGTATCGGAGGAGCAGGACACAGACGGAGACCAACGTGTAGGCGAGGAGCGTGCCGATGGACATCATTTCTATCAGGTCCCTCAGGCTGACCAGCAAGGAGAGCAGCGCTGCCAGGAATCCGGAGACGATGCAAGCCACTACGGGAGTTTCTGTGTAAGAACTGACGTGGGATAAAAATCTGGAGGATGAAACATTTGCACAAGGTTAGAATTGCAGATGGCAGTGGTTCCCTGTCGCAGTAACCCTTGTTTGGGTGGAGGGGCCAGGCTCAGAGCTGTGATCCCTTCAGCTCGTGTTGCTTTTTGGTACTTAGACTGCTGACAGTCAGGGACTGGAAATATTGCTGAGATTGGATTTGGAGTTAGATCTGGGTCTAACTGGCTCTGAAATGGGCACTTGGACATTTGCAAATAAATGCCAAGATTTTAAGAGTATAAGCTGCTCTTCTTTGCAAGTAATTCTTGAATTAAATGCTCATCCTCCCATAAGATGGATCTCTAGGTACCAGCACCAAATGAGATTTTTTTTTTTGCACAGATCTCCCCTGAATTTTTTCCTCCTGGATTCTGCTTTGGTGTGTGCCCTGTTCTGCAGACACTGAGCCTGTGCATGCCTGCTGCTCTCTGCAAGGATGGCACCGGGCTGTCAGGGTGCAGGACAGTCCCCGTCCCTCCCAGAATGTTTCCCCTCTGGGTCACAAAGCAGAAAAAATAAATGCCAACATTGGCATGACTGACCTGAAGAGCAGCCCGTCACCAGCCATGGCGTAAATGACTCTTGGCATTGGGAAGAGGGAGCCCAGCAAGCTGACGGTGAGCCCGGCCACGGACCCGATGGCAACAATGAACTTGGCCACATAGAAACCATGGACCACGAACATTTCCATCAGCGGGGACTCGGTGTCGATGGCATCATAAGGCACCATCAGCGTGAGGATGATGCTCACCTGGGGAAGGTGAGGAGAACAGGACACTGGTCAGATGGGGATTTGCAGGGCACAGGAGCTGTGTCTCAGTGACTGGAAAGCCAAAAATTTTCAAGTCTATTTGGGCTTATATCCCTATGTTGCCTGTGGAGGGGATGTAAAATGCTACAGGGGAGGCCTCTAAAGGCAACAAGGCGACGCATTGAACCTTGCCGCAGCGGTGGTGCAGGAGGCTGGTGGGACTCGGTGGGGTCAGTAACACTCGCTGTGGCCACGTTCTTGTGTGGGGACAGCACTGCCCGGGTCACGCGCTCCCCATGGACAGACCCAAACCAGATGGCATTGCCTGGGGCAACACTCTGATCCTGTTTGAGCCAGCGAGAAATCAGTTTTGAGGGAAGCCTGCCATGCTGCAGGAGAGGTGAATTTCTTTGAAATAACCAGAACCATATTTTTTCTCCATCGTGACTCAATTTTGCTCTTTTATGGGGAAAATCCCGGAGTACAGACATGCATTTATTGGGGTGCAGAACAGCTGGATATCTCTCTCTTGTGGACATCCCTGCCTATCCTCCCCCTCACTTGGATCGTCTCCCTTATCTCCAGCAGAGGCAGTGCTGCTTTGCCCAAAAACACAGAGAAAGGTTGCTGGAATCCTGCTGCTCCTTCTTGATGCAAAAATGGCTTTGGATGGGGATGAGGCATGAGTTAAAAAACCCCAAAACGACTGCTGTCATCTCCCCTGCAGCCATTAGAGGGATCTCAGCAGGGTGACAGGAGCCTGGAGACAAACCAGGCTGGGACTGAGGAGAGCCTCCGCAGGACACTGCAGTGACACAGAAACATCAGTTCCCACCAAACAAAGGGCCCTAGTCTAAGTGTCAGACTGGCACCTGTGCTCATGAGGAGGGGACATGAGCCTGGACGTGCTATTTTTTCTTTTATTTTTTAAATATATATATATGCTTGCATATATATTTATGTACACTTATGTACATATAGCTAGTACTTACAGACACATAAGCTGTCAAGCACGTGACGAGCGAGGCCGTGATGGCGTAAGGGATGGAGGTGTTGGGATTCTTTGCTTCTTCTCCGGTGGTAGCGATGATGTCAAAGCCAATGAAGGCATAGAAACACGTCGCAGCCCCTTTGAGCACCTGCGTGGAGGATGGAGCGTCTGAGTGCCAGGAGGGAGGCTGGCACCCAGCCAGGGCGAGGGAGCTGAGCCGAGATGAAGGAGCCCACTTCTGCCGTATCTGAGCCAAAGGGTGAGCGGGGGCAGATCAGGGGGTGCACATACAGAGCTGGGCATTCCCACCTGGGCACTGACCCTGGGAAGACCCCTAACTCCGTGATCTGGTCGAGGGAAAAGGTTTCAGTGTGTTGGCCTGAGTCACTGCAGGCATCTGCAGCTCGCTCGTGGTGAGCCACAAACCTCTGCCCCAATCTGCTGGGAGATCCTGGCAGCGACAGAAGAGACAATCAACCAATTCCAGGTTTGCTTTTGCAATCCTCCACCCCAAATCCGTTTATCTTAGTAGGGATTTGGAGCATGTTTACACGTTTCATCTTAGCAAGATGTCTCATGTGGCAGCAGGATCCGCTAGCAGAGGAAGCAGGAGAGAGCAGCAGCAATCAGATGTGCGCCGCTTTCCAAACAACCTCTGTTTTGCTTGGAAGCTGCAGACAGGTTAGAAGCACGCGTTGGAGCACTTGGATGAGGAATTATTTGTACTGTTTGGTTATTTTTTGTAACGTGATTTTTTAAGAAATACAATATTAGCAAGGACGTTTATAGGGAAGAAACGCTGAAGCAGGTCAAACACTGTGTGGCTGTGAGTGAGCTTATCCGCGGTTGTAAAACCCTCACATGTACCTGGGTACCTAGCTGGGTACCACATGTCCATCCCATCGCTGTCATCCCAGCTGTCTAGTGATGGGGTGAAGTAGCCCCTATGCTCCTGGGGATCTCACAGTTGTGCTGTGGTGGATTTACTTTTACAAGCAATTTGGGAGACAAACAACCAGCTGATAGGGTTGGGAAGACTCTATTGATTTTGATATGCTTTTGTTATGTATGTTTTAAAAATCCGCATTTTTGCCAGGAGGTATTTGGAGGGGTGAGTTAAAGCAAATCAGCTATTTTCTGTTTTCTTTTTTTCATTCCTATTGTATGGCATAAAACATCAAGCACAATCCAGAAGTAAATACGACCTCTGCTCTCCAATGGGCCTCAGTGCTCCTCTCCTCACATTGTTCTCTGGCAGACAGGTATTGATTTACTGAAGGGAGGTGCAGGGACTGTGTGACAGCTTGGGACCCTTTCAATAATCGAGATTCTTGGTTTACTTTACTTTCTTGCTTATTTTTCTGCACAAAACCCTGATGGAGTTGAGCAGTGTAAATCTGAGGAATTATCCTGGGTTTAGGCCAGCTGAGATATTTTCAGTCTCTGTTCATCCTTGGATAAAAACCAGTGCAAGCAAGCTAAAAAAGCCAAATATGTCCAAATTCTCAGTAAGATTTGAGGGAACATCCACAAAATAAGTACTGGCAGGTGGCATTATGAAGTGCTCAAAACAAATGCTTGAGAACATTGTTGTTGAAAACCAGCCAACACAAGTATCTCCCCGTCGACGGAGGCTGAGCCAGCTCCTCCTGAGCACCCTGTCTCGGGCGGCCACCGCATTTCACTCCATGGCCTGGCAATTAGTGGCATTTCCTGGGGTCTACTTTCACGTGGAGTTTGTCTCTCCAGGAAGAGAACTTTATTCTAAGAGGTGGCAGGAGATAACAGGCAAAGCATTTATGTACTCCTCAGGTTTGGTGGGCCAAGGGTGGGTGGATCCAAGCAGCGGTGGAAGTTGGAGGTCCCTGGCCAAAGCACAGGTGGGTTAAGCAGGGTTGAGATTTGAGGAGTGCTGTGTAAGTAGGGTACGAGTAGTGCTGTGAGCAAAGCTGAGTGTGTGGCAGGTGGGTGGCTCTGCTTTGGTGCTGTGTGCCCCTCCGTGTACCCAGGACTTACCCCCGGCCATCCAAACGGCAGGAATTGCCCTTCGGACCAGTTGTCACCTTTGATATAGAAGAGACCAGCAATCATGATGAAGATCCAGACTACCAGGTTAATGACATTGAGCACGTTGTTCAGCCCCACCGAATTCTTCACCCCCATGGCCACGATGATGGTGACAATGACAGCAATGACCAGAGCAAGAAGGTCAGGGTAGGACTCCTCTCCTTTCCCTGGGTAGGAGACAAGAGGTGTGAGGCTTTAAAATATGCTTTTCAGACCCTGAGGCTCTGCAGAACTTCTTGGTCTCACAGTAAAGGTGGTCTGCAGATGTGTCTGCCTCTACTGGCTAAAGCTATTTTATTGAAGTGATAAATCTTGACGCCTCAAGACAGTGTTAGAAGTTTTGGGAGGGCAGCAAACAAAGGATCGAGACCCAGGTTTGCATAACATGTATCTGCCAGGTACTAATTAAAAATCAAACATTAAGTTTTCATGACACAGGCACAGGACAGCTAGCTGGTTTACTTACTGGTAGGAATCATGGACTGTTGCTGGCACTGCTGGTCATACAGGACCATCAAAGTTCTGAATTTCTCCATGGCAGTGTTGCAGACACCAGCTTGAACTCTCCAACAAGGCTCTGCTGTGCCTTAACGGGTCCAAGCAGGGTGCTTGCACTGGGTGAAATCCTCCTGCATGGTCATTAGCCTCTGACGTTCAGCTGATTTTTCTGGGTCCTTATTCTTCTAAACACCAGCTCATCCCAAAAGGGCTTGAAGTATCCTGTATCCCCCCTTCCCCCCTCCCCGAATCTCATCTGCGAACCAGACCGCAAAGTACCAGAGGCAGACGGATGGTAAATAATGAATGAAGCCTAATATCCCTGTCTGACTTCTAACGAGCTTCCAGTTACCCTAATTAACGCAGGGAGCTATGCACGGCGTGACTCACCTAGTCCGTTCAACGTCCCGACGCTGTTGATCATCCAGCGGCTGATGGTGTGGTTGGCCAACGAGTCGAACATGCTGCTGAGGGCGCTGGCACCCGCGGCTGTGCCAATCAGGTACTCCAGGATGAGGTTCCTATGCCACGAACTCCCCCACCGTCACGTAGCTGTAGGTGTAGGCAGAGCCCGTGGTCTTGGGGACCCGCACGCCAAACTCAGCGTAGCAAACGCCTGTTGAGAAAAATACAAAACGACATAAGGAAAACGTGCCTGGAAAAGGGAGAAGTAAAACAGCCTTGGTCTCACCTGCCTAGAAGTGCCAGAAAGGGCTCAGGGCTGTGGTCATCTTAGGAGTCCATGGTGACCTCCCTCCCTAATCGTCTGGCTGAATAAACAGCCCGTTTTCCTATTAAAATCAAGATGTGATGCTTCTTCTCTTTGAGGATACACAGTTCAAAGTAGCCAAACCTTTCCAGCCCATTACAGAAGAGCCTTTTCAGAGGTGTGTGCCTCTGATGTGGGACCTTCCAGCATGGCCAGCTGCAGAGTATGCCCCGACACAAAACCAAAGCTGGGAGGGGGGTTCATGCACAAGGAAAAAAACCTGGCGACACTGGTGGTATGGTCCTTGGAGCCCTGTTTCCCTGCAGTAGCTTTAATGGTGATAGATATCTCTTTTCCCCATCCAAGAATGACACTGTAATATGATTTTTGTAATTCTCCCTGGGATTTTATCCAGTGTTTTATGTGTGGTATGAATATTCTGAGAAGCTCCCAGCGATTCTGGCTGCAGAATCCATCATAGCCCTGGGGTTTGCCAGGGAAAAGTGGTTACAGTGAGACCTGCCAGAGGACAGTGTTTGGGTTTCTCCAGAGCCTTGTGGGGCACAAAGAGGTCAGGGATGGTTACAGGCCTTGCATGGGATCCTGGACCAGTGTTGCCCAGCTTCAGCCTGGAGCAAGGTACCACAGGAGGGCTCCCACAAGGCTACACCTCTCCCTGCCCTGACTGTGCAATCTCCAAACACCCGTTTTTGTTATTGCAGATCCAGGCATGAGCATCGTCCTGATCATCCCTGCTCTCCTCAGCCATGTAAGAGGAGTTTGAAGCTACCTTACACAGAGAACGTAAGTTTTTTAAACACTTAAAAATGTTACATGTGAGTCTCATTCTGAAGCACAGTTGCAAAACTGACTTTGCAGAATGAGAAAAGCAAAGCAAAAAGGAGGATTTAACTGGAACTGTTTGGGAGGAGATTTCAGTAGGCTTCAACACTTTCCAAATTCCTGACGTATTTACTGTGTCAGGACACTTTTTAATAAAAACCTGACCCTGACACATTGCTGCCTTAAAACAATCATTAGCTTTTATTTAAGAGGAATGGATGGACTTAGTCATAAATTCCCCAAACATTAGTTAGAACAAGTGCTGGAAGGGCACACTGCAGCCTGAGTTATTACCGTTGTGTAAACATGTAGTAATTATTGAGTTCTTTATCATCTACTATTCTCCATTTAGAAGATAGTAATTGCTTCAAATTTGCAATCAGTTCAGTATAGAGAGAGGAATGAATAATTTATAAAAACGTTACGAGCTCGCTGCTCTTACTGTAAGTGCAGTTTTTACACAGTACAAACACAGAGTTATTGAATCCTTAAGCTGAATTTGGAGGTGCTTCGTCTCTTGGTGTTGGAGGATTCTTTATATTCGGTTCACGGTTTAACTTGCATGCACGATGCTGGCAGTCTTCTGCAATGGGACTCTTCAAAACTTGGTTTCTGTAAAGCAGGCCCAACAGCAGGAGCAGCAAGACATGCCCATCATCCAGCCCTGCCGACAGTCGTTATTCAAAGCTGATGAAAAATGCATGTGCACGGCAAAGGTAAGACATTCACAGATAACTCCAGGCCTGAATGATTTATGAAACAGGTGCTGTGGTGGGGACAAGTATCTAGTTTCTCTCTCTGATGACCTAAAAAAATCATATAATCTTTCTTGGAGGCAGCTCTACTTTTAGCCAGTGACAAGATAAGGCTTAAAGACGATCGTTATTGATACAGAGTGATAGTGGCAAAGCAAAGATGTTAATACGTGTCAACTGTTTGAGTTTTCAATTACTCCACTAGGATCCCAAAATGGAAAAGTAATCTTTCACCGTGCATTGCGTACAGAAACACATCGTGGATATCGGCATTAGATATAAGCATATTTTAAGAAAATAAACTACTTTCTGTCACAGCATGCAGTCCCCAGTCTGGGGGACAGGTGATGCACGGTCTGCCATCTATCCCTGACTGCCACTGGCCGTACTGGGTGGCTTTAATTAAATCACTTTGCTTTGCCATGCTACAGGTCCTCCATCAGAAACATAGTTCCATATCATAATTTCTTAGGATGCAGATTTTATCTGGGTGCAGATAAAATCATAGTTTATTAGGGTGTATATTTTATCTCACTAATCTCAGGGCTGCAAGCAGGGGCTGGGACACTCTCCTTGCCACAACTCCTTGAATTTGGAGAGAGATTTGGTTTTTTTCTCCCTCCAGTCAAGAGTGTTTGCAAGTTTCTGCAGAAAACAAACCAACATGGTGGTTGTTTGGAAAACGCAGTCTTTTTGCAGAAGGCCATTTCTTTTCCTCGAGTATCAGCTACACTGTGTAACTGGTGTGGCAACATTACGCTGCTGTAATTATGCAGTTATTGACATTATTCAAAAGGACATAAACACAGCTGAACAGTTTGGTCCATGACATTGTCCCTTCCAAGATCCCATCTACAAACGCCCACTTTTCAGGTTTAGGCACCGCAGCTCAGCGCACCCTCCTGGCTGCTGCCTTGCTTTGGGTGTGCCAGGGTGGTGGTGATGGCTCTGGTGTGGAGGCTGACCCTTCCACTGCCGCCTGCTACGAGGCCGCGTGGATATCATGAGACATCCCATGGGGCATTGGCTCGATGGGAGAGATGTTTCAGGTGAAACAAGCCTTCAGGGAGGGGCCTTCCAGCAGCACTGGAGGTAACACCAATTAATTCATGCTCCCGCGCAAGTAATCCAGAGGGACCATCCTTTGTTAGCCAAGAGCAGCCAATTTATCAGGGCAGGTATGCAGCCAAATCCTATTTTCAGCAAGCCACTGAGCCTATCCTTTGTGTTTCATAATTGCTGTGTGCAGGTACATAAAAGGCAGCTCCATAAAGAAAACTGCCTGACAAAAAGGACTCCCATCCCTCCGGCACCACCCCAGCAGCTGATTATCAACTGCAGCTGGAGACCCTCATCCTGGCCCTTGCCCTGCAGCACCTGAAGCACATGCTCAGCTCTTCCCTGCTCCACCATTGTCCACCCTGCATGTTGCTGAGCCTGTTTCTGCATGAGTACCAGGTAAGAGCATGGCAGCATCTTCCAAAACTGTGTGCCTTGATGCTTAAAATCTCCATCCCATCTTGTAGCGGTTCCTGCGGGAGAAGTTTTTCTTTCCTAGCACAGCCTGACGCCAAAGCCTATGGGGCTGCGTGGCAAAGAAAGCCACCCCACACTGGTAACCATCGTGGGGGAGGGCCTGACCCTTGTCTGAGCTGACAGTAAGGGGTTTGCAAAATGCCATCAATGAGGTTGTGTTACTTTAGGAAAAAAGACCACTAAAGGCAGGACTTGTGGCTGGTGGAAAAGGCTGTGGAGTGGGTAATGGGGTTGGGTAAGAACTGCTGATATTTTGCCAAGAAAAGGTTTTGGTCAGACATGGGGGTGAGAGTGGGGAATCCCGGCGGTCGCAGCTGATGGAGGGAGCTCACGGCGTCCCTTGTGCTGGAGGCTTTGTGGGGGCAGGTTGGGCAAAAGCTTTTGTCTGAGAGGTGAATAAAAGGCCTTTCAGTGATGCAATGAAGGAGATTGATTTCATTTAATTTATCAGTTTAATCGATTATACTATGTCTGTAAGTACTCTGACAGGACACATATTGCTTAAACCTGGGGGAAGGCATAACTGGAATTTGACGGGTAGATGAAATTAGAAAAATTCCTATCTGAAGCCAGGCTAAACAGTGTGGAGGTGTTTCCCACCCGCGGGACCTGCCTGGTGGGGCTTTGTCCCAGGGGAGCCGAATGGCTTTCTGGAAGGGTTTCGGTTTTAGCCAAAAACCTCTTGGTGCAGGGATCTGACTCTGTGATCTTCAATACATCAAGGGAAAGCAGGTGATCTAGTGGTTCCGTCTGGCCTTAAAACTATGAGAAACTCCTTAGAATCTGTCCATGCACACTTGCTTGAGCTCAGTGCCTGGCACACTGCGAGTGACCGTGATGTGAGAGCTGAAATCACATCCCCTGTGAGCCTGACAGCCTGTCCAGCTCCTGCACTTTTGCTCAGTTTTACTTGCCAAAAACGTATTGCTGTTACAAACAGCAGCAGCGTCAACCATGAAGCGAGGAATTGGCCAAGGAGACTTATCAAAACACCTCATCCTTCGCAAAACACTTTCCCAGGGCTACAAAAGCAAGGGGAGATGAAAGCTGAGCGGGGAGCGGCGCGGGCTCCTGTTGGTGAAGGCGGGAAGAGCTCCCCGCTGCGGGGCAGGGCTCGTGTTTGGGGTAAAAAAGCCTCTTCTGGAGGACAGTGTGGTGTTTTTTATGGATGAGACCCACCCGGGTTCTGTTTGCTCGTAGTTTGCATCACGGCCAGCAAAACTGTTGCAGAGGAGAGAAAAAGCAGGCAGTAGAAAAGCATAAAGATATTGATGCTCTTCACCGCCTTGGTTAAAACACGGGCAGTTTGGTTCATTTGTTGTGTTGGGATCTCAGATGAGCGTTGGATCTCACTGCACACTCTCAGCTCTTGTTCTGGATTGAACCAGCGGTAAATGTGTCTGAGCTGCTTTGTCACTGGGGGCTGATGGGACACTGGGGAGGCAGGACTGTCAGTGAGGTG